TATGTGTGTGTGTGTGTGTGTTTTAAAAAAGCAAAGCAAATTTATTTCACAAAAATTGTCGACACACAAAAGTACTGTCCCCCTTTACTTAAAATATATGACTAATACTGATAAATAAACAGACTATAAAAGGTAAGGCTATTAAACAGTCCCAAACTAGTTTTTGTTAATACAGTTAAGTTGGTATAAGCCACCACAGTCATTTAAACGTATACAAAATAGCACAAAGTGAAAATAATATGGCATTTGTGGGTTATGGAAACAGCAGTTACCATGGTGAATACACAATACTAACATGAACGGTTAATGAAACATGTAAACTGCTCCTGAATAGAATGAATATCATACCTTCATGCAAATCCTTCCCAGCCTACACCCAAAGTACCAGTTACGTGATTTATTGGTACTTTACTTTTATTTCCTCATTGCATGCTCGTAGTTTCTTTTGCGCTTTAGTGCAATGATACGCATTTGTGCGTGCACAGGATAGTTCGTTTTTCTGAGGTGAGAGACTTTTTATTTATAAGTTACAAAAATAACAATAGAATAATGACGCTGACAATACGTCTGACAACATCTCATCTGACCGCAGATACTGAAACAGTGCGTTTTTCTCAGGCAGTCTTTACTTAAACTGCATCTAACAGAAGTGTCAACAGCTTTCACGCACGTCTTTCAAAATAACAGTCTCGAATCAGAAAAATTTAGAATTACATTTTTTTGTAGTTGATGTTTCTTTGACTGTACACTTCACTACCCACCAGTTGAGAAACACTGTTATTTGCAGTAAAAATATATGCAGGTAAATATTGCTGTTTATTACCATGTATGTACTGTTATATTCATGTATGACTGAGGTAAATGATTAAATATTATTATGTGTGTTCATTTAGTGTTTTACTTCTTGAATTACACACTTTGGGGGGGAAAGTAATTTCACAGCTAGCTAACTAGACAGACAAATAAATAAATACATACGTTTTTCTTTCTCTATACATAGAGAGAGAAATAAACAGAAATGGTAAAATAGTGAGTGCTGGGTAGATTTGGTAGAGTGTGGTCGCCCCCCCTCTCTCTCTCTCTCTGAATAATTGTGTCTTTGTTGAGGGGGTGAGTGAGTGGCAGCATGTGGCCAGCACATTTCAGGAGCAAACTGCCGGCAATTAACATCACATCCCTTCACCTCCCCAAAACTGAAGGCAGAGCAACTCAACAGCAACAACTGCCTTACCAAAGGAAATACACAACACTTTGCCCTCTCTCCCTTTCACACACATTAGAATGGATGTGTGATCAGATCATACAGGTTGGCTTTCTGAACACACACACACTCTAATGATACAAGGCTTTAATTAATTAATTTTTTGTCAGATAAAACCAAAAAAATTCCAAGATAAAATCAAGAAAGCAACAAGCCAAATTATAATCGACTGCATTGGAACTGTCATGTTGTCATTTTTGGCTGTATTAATGCATGTAAAAGTTGGTCAACCAAAATGTTTTTTTTTTCTTTTCCATATCAGTCATTTATTATTGCAAACAGATGGATGGATGGATGGATGGATGGATGGACGGACGGACAGGATAGTTAGAGATAGACAGACAGATTTTAGTCGAAAATGTTTTATTATTTAGTATTTGAGAATAAAGAGGCTGCAAGTTGATGTGAAGTGAATGAAACTATCATAGCTATATAAAAACAATATAGCTATGCTACTACAATGTAGTGCTGTGTTCGATACATCGATACGACGATGTATCGTCACAGAGATTTGACGATATGAGTATCGATACAGCTGGCCCTGTATCGATATTGTGGCACGTGTGCAGCAGTGGACCGCGCTTAATTTGAATACAAGAACACAGTTTAAAAT